ATATGTAGATGTTTGGTTAAATAAATATGTTTTATCAGTATGACCAATAAATAATTACAGCATACATAAGTTACAGGGGTAGAACAAAATTTGGGAAAACCTAGTTCACTAACTCTATGTAGTCGATCTTTTATCAAGCAAATGTCTAGAAAGATTTCCCGTGACAAAACTTGCGGCACAATTTGAAAGAGTGATTTATGACTTGAAGCTTTTAAAAATGGTGTCATTTTTACTAAAGTAAAATACGTATTAATCAAAGTGAAGAGAGGAAGTTGATAACTTTTCCCTAACAATGAATGCATCAACTTAGAAACCTTTCATGATTACAATATTTATATAAAAATGCCGGTTTTTTTTTATTTATAGGAATATTNAGTTGGCATCTCTGTATAAGGCATAATTTTCAGGGTCCTTACACATGTTGCTAATTTTTTTTCTGTGTTAATAAGAATGTTATTTTCTAATACTATTAAAACGTTAATAGTTGGAAGATATGTATATGTTTGGTTAAATAAATATGTTTTATCAGTATAACCAATAAATAATTACAGCATACGTAAGATACAGGGGTAGAACAAAATTTGGGAAAACCTAGTTTACTAACTCTGTGCAGTCGATCTTTTATCAAGCAAATGTCTAGAAAGATTTCCCGTGGCGAAACTTTCGGCACAATTTGAAAGAGTGATTTATGACTTGAAGCTTTTAAAAATGGTGTCATTTTTACTTAAGCAAAATACGTATTAATCAAAATGAAGAGAGGAAGTTGATAACTTCTCCCTAACAATGAATGCATCAACTTAGAAACCTTTCATGATTACTAGAGCCCGGACTTTGATGACCTAAAAAATCTCAACTAATGCCCTTAAAAAGTGCAAAAAATGCCTTAAAAAGGACAAAAAATGTCCTTAAAAATGGAAAAATTGCACAAAAAATGCCTTAGATAAAGTAAAAATATTGAATTAAAAAATCTTTTTGCTCTTTAAAATTATTATGAGTAATTTAAAAAATATAAAGCAATGCAATACTTGTTCTACGTTCATTAAAGTTTGAAAAATATGTTTTATATCCTAAAATAACAAAAAAAGGAAAATATATTGAAACCAAAATATTTTTATTTTGTATAGAAACTTTAATGGATATAACAACTTCCATCTCATAATATTACTAAATAGCAGAATTACATTGGATTATTGAATGTTTTTTGATAATTTGAAATGTAAACGAGCATCTCTTGTCTGAAAGTAAATTTTCATTCCTGCAGAAGCTTCTTTCAACGTCTACTGATGTTATATGTGCATACTTGAAAAAGACGGTCTCACTTACTTACAATTCTCCTTCAATTTGAAAAGATTTTGCTTCACCTGTTAATATTCTATAGATTTTTTTCATTGTTTGGAAGCCAGTGTAATAATGAAAAAAAATAGTAAAAATTGGAAAAAATTAACAAAAAACTTTAAAAAATGCATTAAAATGCAAAATACGCCCCAAAATTTAAGGAAAAATGCCCTATAAATCTAAAAAAATGCTCTAAAAGACAAAAAATGTCCAAAAATGCAAATGTCATCAAAATCCGGGCCTTAGTAATTATTGTTTTAAATTTATTCAGTCTTTAACACATATAAGGCATAATTTTCAGGGTCCTTGCACATTTTGTTGATTTTTTTCTGTGTTAATAAGAATGTTATTTTCTGATACTATTAAAACGTTAATAGTTGGACGATATGTAGATGTTTGGTTAAATAAATATGTTTTATCAGCTTGGCCAATAAATAATTACAGCATACATAATATACAGGGGTAGAACAAGATTTGGGAAAACCTAGTTCACTAACTCTATGAAGTCGATCTTTTATCAAGCAAATGTCTAGAAAGATTTCCCGTGGCAAAACTTTCGGCACAATTTGAAAGAGCATGATTGAATCTTTTAAAAATGGTGTCACTTTTACTAAAGTAAAATACGTATTGATCAAAATGAAGAGAGGAAGTTAATAACTTCTCCCTAACAATGAATGCATCAACCTTTCATGATTACAATATTTATATAAAAATGCCGGGTTTTTTTTTTATTTATAGGGATATTGAAATAAGAAAAAAGCTTTTAACTTCTTTTTATTTTGGTTGATTAAAATTTTGTATTGGTAAAAAGGTCACCGTTTCTGTTGTTGTTGTTCTTTCTAATGCCCCGTACCAATACCAGTAAGCTTGCTTCGTGGAATCAAAATTTAAGGAAGAGGATGGTTTNTTTTAAATAGTTCAGTTAGACTGACCTGTTATATAATTATCTTCACTTTAAAAACTTCTTCATTGGTAAAAACTGAATTCACTATTATTTATTTATCTCCTTAGATATTAAATCATAAATACCAATATGATTTACATTTCAAATTATTAATATTTAAATCAAAAGCATTCTTTAACCTTTTGACGGTCAGGGAAATGAGCAGTTTTCGTTTCATTAATTCGCGCACTATTACGTGCAAACAGTAGTCGAAAGTGGCATCTGTTTTCCACCTCTGTTCTTCCGAAAATGCATACCTGCCAACTTTTAATCCCTTCCATTATCATTTTTCCCAGTGGTATTAAAATGGGATTAAAACTACAATTTTAAGCAAACAAATACGTTGTATTTGAGAAAACTTAAGTTGAAAACCATGATAGTAACGCATATTAATATTTGTGCTTAAATTTTGTAAGAATAGTGGTGATCAAAATCATTTGAAAATTAAGTTTATAAAAGAAAGAATAGTATATATTTACTACCACTTTAAATATGAAAATAAAATCTTCCGGAAAATCCGAAAGAGTTGGTAGGTATGGAAAATGTCACCGTTCTCTGGCAATGCCAACTGCTCCGTATTCTGGAATTGTTACAATAAAGTGGTAGCAAATTATGTAGCAAATTTCGTTGGAGTAGGACAATTACGCCTACTTTTTAATAGAGTAACCAGTAGATTATTGCTTACAGTTTTTGATATTTAGTGGTAAAAAAATTACTTAAAAGGAAATATACTAAACTGAAAGTAACTTGACTTTCGCTATCACTAGGAAATACTATTTTACAAAGCGGAGCAAGTTGGCATCTCTGGATGCGGTAGATAGCTCGCCTCAAGCGTTTTAAAAATTTCTTAAAGTATTCGTAGTACATAAATAACAGTTTTTACGTAATTTTCGTTTTTAACCAATGCAGAATAATAATGGCGAACGAGCTTGGCTCGTCAGCGCGCATTGGGGAAAAATTTCACTACGCGAGTAGTGCTCGTTACTAACCATTACGGTCAAAATCTTGCTCCCGAGCGGAACTCGTTGGCGCGCATTATGAGGCCCGATTCGATTGCGAGCTGAACTCGTTCATAACCGTCAAATTGTTAATACTTTCAACAGTGGACTGAAAAAAATATGCTATGCACTAGATGCTTATTTTAATTTCTTTTAATATAATCTTGAATTTTATTAGTCAGTACTTCTTACAATTTTAGTCTCCCATAACAACCCCGTTTAAGCAAACAATTGAATTTAAATTATCTTTTGCCCAAAGTAATTCATTTTATCAATTGTTCTGACGACTACTTCCAAGAAAACGCGCGGAATCTTTATAATCGATGGCAAACCAGAAATCGTAAAAAACGTGGTCAGGTATTTAAACCTAAGCACTCTCAGGCACTACAAATGAATTTTAAAATTTTTGCACTTTAATGCTTAGCAACCACTTTATTTAATACCCTTCTGGTGTTACCTTGTAATTCGCAAAACAAAGCCCATAGTTTGCACAATTCTTAGTGGATATGTTCGTTTTTTAACAATAAAAAGAATCTCCAAATGTTATTTTCAAGAGCAGCACGTTCAAATAAAAATATATTTTAAATATTATTCATACACTTCGTGAATAGATCCTAAATTTGTCACATTCGAATGAATAAAAAGTCAAAATTTTTCAACTGCAACAGGAAAACTCTAATTCTGTATTATTTTTATGAAACTATAAGCTTTTAACTAAATTAAATTCGAATTCAATATTATTTTTCTGAAACTATAAGCTTTTAAGTGTTTTTTCATGGATTAAAATTTTCCAATAAAAAACTAATTAACACCTTGTTATAAGCCAATGTTTTGAATTTTAAATAAAAAATGCTTTTAGAGTGCTAATAATGAAATTATACGAAAATTTCATGTATTATTTGGAATCGTACATTCTTTTCAGAGAAAATATAAAAACTGTTCAATGTCTTAAGCAATTTAAAAATACAGCAGAAAGTAATTTTTTGTAAAATATTGAAATATGCTCATAACCAAATAGAAGTAAAGAAACGGGGAACTAAAGAATTAAATAATTTAATGACGAGAAAATCATTCAAATCTTTAAAAGAGCAAAAGTTGTTAAATATCTTAGTACGCTTTTCATGTTTGTGCTTAAGGTGCGTTGGTCATGGTCTTATTCTTAGTTTATCATAGTAACGCCCTTTTCTCTTTCAATGAAATTCTGATTTTTATAGCGTTATTATGGATACCTATTATAAAAGTTCAATTCCGTAACAAAAATAACTAACAGTAACACTATTTCATATTTTTTTTGTTATTTTAAAAAACAGAGATTTTTTTCCATAGTTAAATCATTTTCTTGATTCCCCTTTTGAAATTGTTTCAGGTCCTGTCTTTGGTTTAGAACATAAATAATTTTCAATTGAAAACTTCTTTCTGCAATATTTTTTAATTTGTTTTATAACATTTAGCAGTTTTATATTTTCTTTGAAAAGATCTTATTATTTTACATACTACCTGAAATTTGTGTTCAATGTTAGCAGTCCTTGATATAATTTTTTTAAATAGGTAAGTGGAAAAATTCAATTGTTTAAAACTAAGTGGAAATTGAATTTCAAAGAAAATAATTTTATTCCATAACAAAAGACATTAAAGACTACTAGTGTTTCATAAGATAATATTAACGTTCGATTATTTCTAATACAGTTGAGTTACTACAACGCGGAAATTAAAGGTGATTTATTATTTGTTTTCATGAACTACTAACCAGTCAAGAAATCAAAGACTGCACAATCCATTGCATCATATAGCCTCCTTCCATATTTGTATGGTGGTTTTGATTTGACTTCTCTGATGCAGTAATAGTCACTGCCTTCCCACGCAGCCTTCCTACGCTTATTGTACGATCTTCTCCAAGGACTTCTTAGCGGACGTCTATCCAAGATGTTCCTTGGAGGTAGCCAGGCAGCAAGACTTCCCTCAATTGTGTCTGGATTACCACAAAAGGCATGACCAGTGTCGCAATAATACGTGCATTGTCCATGAAAGCACACGTTTCCAGCTAAAGAAAAATTTAAGAAGACATTTTTTTTATCAAAATATATCATAATCAGTTGGTGGAAGATTAAAATTTTAGCTCATTAATAGTCAATGTTTCCATTTTGGAAAAATGGAATTCAAGTCTAGAAATCTAACGGTAATCTTCGTCTTTTGAATACATTTTGCCACAAAGTAATTAACGAGGATTCCAGTCCTGTGTGAATGCGCATTGTAATCCATTAAAATGGGTTTACGAACGTCTTAGAACTATCTTTGACTCTAAGATCTTAGTCCTATGCTTTGAAGAATTCAGGATGCGATACCGCGAAAGACTTCCTGGTATGTGTGGACATTCAGCTGTCCAAGATGATAGCATCTCCGATTCTATAGAAGTCACTTTCCACGATTTTGAAGGGATAACCCCAGACCTCTGGCTTACTCCACATGTAAGAAAGCCAAGTATAATTGTTCAGACAAACTCGGCTCTCATCAGTAAACAATACTTAGGTCAACTGCATCACCTTCTTAGAAGGATGTTACTTGCTCCAGTTCAGGCAGTCTCTCCAAAGACCTAGAAGTGTATCAGAAAAGCATTCTGGCTTCTTTGATTTTAAAGTCCTGACTACGTTGGTTTCGATCTTAGAGTCCTAAGTACGACTGTACAGAATCGCTATTAGACCTCAATATATTTTTATCGATAGAAAAAAAAAGAACTTTGAAATAATAGATATTCAGACGATGGAGTGGTCTGCCAGATCTCCAGACCTGATTCCCAAATATTCTCGCGCAGGTTTTTGGAAGAGAAATTGCAACTCACTATCCACTTTTTAAAAACCTCCTGTTGCTAAGAACTGCCGTAGAAGGATGGGTGGAGTTTATTTTCCCAAAACATAATAAACTACTTCGCAAAGAAAGCGCATTTGAGAAATCTGTTTTCCTCTTTTTCTTTTGGTTTATTTATTATTTTATGTTTTGACTTAAACTTACTTTATTACACCGCTTGATTTGTAATAAAAAATTTGAGTTTTGTGTAGCATTACCATGTCTTGTTTCATTATATTCTACACATAATTAAACCCTCTAAAATTAAATAGTCTACTAACATTTCGTTTCAATACATTAAACACGGTATTTTTTTACAGTACTGAAACAATTATTTTTCTTATGAACATGATTACTTGAGTTCTTTACACGTTCTTTACGTTATTTTACTATTAGCAGAAAGTGAAATTTACTTCTTTTGGACATTTTGGATTAAGAAAGTTACGCTTCCTTTTCTACCTTATTTACATAGTAAATAAATATTAATTGCTTTAAATTCAAACATACTTACAAACAGCGATTTAAATGCCATACCTGGAGAAATGAAAAATGTTTTAAATAGTTCTGGTGGAGCTAATGGATACAGTTCTTCCGTGATATTGACTGTTCTTCCTATAACTGGAGGAGCTCTTCTAAATCCAAAAACTCTACAAAATATCAAGTAATATCATCAATCATATCAGTAATATCAAGAAATATCAGTGTAAATAAATTAAACTATAAGTTATGAGGTCATTCATGAAAATATAGTCTTTCTGAATAAATAAATATCATTATAAACACTAAATGGAAAATATGGTACCACAATAGTTTAGTCAGAAGAGCGGTTAAAAATGAAAGTCTGTTACTTTCGCTTTTTGCGTCATTCATCAAATGTTTTTAGCTGCTTTGCTATTCTTTTATAAAATAATTATTAATAAATTTTAAATATCAATAAATTTAAATATTAATATTAAATATAATTATTAAATAAAATTCTTTTATTAAAATTATATAATAATTCTTTTATGCAAAGCTTTATTCGAGTAAAAATATTTGTTTATAATTATTTATTTATAATTTTATTGAATGAAGGTTCACGTCAGTTTTCTCAAGTTTTTACATTCTTTTAAACAATTTAGAACTACCGACAATTATTTACCAGATTTCGTTCCTATTTCGAATTTTGTCTGCTTCAATAAAACTTAAACGACGTGAAAATAAATTATAAAATATTTAAAGATTAAATAAAAAATCGTTGTTAATTGACGGCTCATAATTTTGGTTTAAACCTTTGGTAAACTAAAATCATATACGGTATAGTTACCGATAATTGGTATGAGAAGGATTAGCCAATGGAGTTTAAAGCACATAAGAGATAAGAAAATGATGATTTTTTCCCTTTAATATTAATTGACGGCTCATAACTTTGGCAAATAAAAATCATATACGGTTAAGTTACTGAGTATTCGGAAGATTAGCCAATGGTGTTTAAAACACAAAAGAGGCAAGAAAATGATAATTGTTTCTTAATTGAAGGTTCATAAGTTTGGCTAAAAACTTTGGCAAATTAAAATCATATATGCGTGAAAAAAATTAACGTTTTTATATTCTTCTTAAACATAAAAAACTAGAGATACTTTGAAATACCTGTCCAGATGATAAGAGGCAATTTCACTAACATGCCTTTCATAATCAGTAAAATAGAAATGATTTGGTAAAGTCTCAACTTCTCTCGGGAATCTGAAATATAAAAACACAGCGAAGATTAAAAAGTGGAAATTACGAATAATTCTCACAACTATTAGTCAAACCCTTCGCTCTTGATTTTCTTTTGATGTTTAAGAAACAAAGAAATGTAGTTTTTTTTTTTAAAGATTTCAAGAACAAGGATGCTAGCTGCTTGAATATTTTATAAAGTGGTAATTAATGCTTATAGAACTGTAGTTAATCTTGTAAATACACCGAAGAGCCATTACATTATGACCACCCTGCTAATAACATGTAGGACCACCTTTAGCCCTCAAAACTGCTAGCACCCGTGCAAGGTGCACAAGGTGCTGATAGGTAGTCTGAGGTGTCTGGTACCAAGCGCTCACATGCAATTCCCTCACATTGCGAGGGGGTTGCGTGGCAGCACAAATTCTGTTTTCCAAGTAGGACCACAAATGCTCTATTGGATTAAAGTTAGTTGAATTTGGGGACCAAGACATGACTTGAAAGTCACTGGAATGTTCTTCGAACCAATCCATNCTCAAAACTGCTAGCACCTGTCGTGGCATTGATTCCACAAGATGCTGATAGGTAGTCTGAGGTATCTGGTACCAAGCCCCTACATTGTAGCGTGGGACATTGTAGCGTGGCAGCACGTAGCGTGGTAGCGTGGCAGTACGGTTTTGGTCTTCCAAGTAGGACCACAAATGCTCGATTGGATTAAGATCAGGCGAATTTGGGGGCCAAGACATGACTTGAAAGTCACTGGAATGTTCCTCGAACTAATCCATGACGATTCGAACCTTATGACATCGTGCATTATCCTGTTAGTAAACACCATCCCCCCGCAGGAAAAACTGTTGCCATGAATGGGTGAACCTGGTCTGCAACTATGTTCAAGTAGCTTATAGACGTCAGGGATTGTTCTATAAGGATTATGGGTCCTAATGTGCCCCATGAAAACATTGTTCCTGGGCGAGAATCCATGAAAACCTGGGCGAGCCCATTGTTATAGATGGAGGGTGGTCATAATTAATGGCTTTTCAGTGTATATATCGCAATGTCTGATTAAATAGAACATTACATGTATTCAGATAATTGAATTTCTGATAATAATTATAAGAAATGAGAAAAATACACTGAAATACTTTTTTTCTATTAACGATATTGTAAATTTATTTTATTAATCTGTTTTATTTACTTATTTATTTATTTACTTTTTATAAAAAAAAAAATAATTTTCCTTGCTATGACTACTCAAAGATTCGTTTGAAATATATTTGCTGTCAAATAAGGGCAAGTGTCCATTTACAGGGATTTTTTTTCTACCTTCCATTTAATTCTCTTTTCTAGATAGTGTTGTCATATCTGTTTTCACATTGACCCGCTGGTTTGTTTGGTCCAGTTGAACTTGGAGCATAGTTTCAAGGTAAAAGTTTTGCAACTGAATTTCGTCTTTGCGGTCAGCACTTCATATTAATTGACAAATATGAGACAAAAACATAACGCTGCTTTTTAGTTTAAAAGGTAAGAGAAACCATTAAATACTGGGCGAGCCCATTGTTATAGATGGAGGGTGGTCATAATGTAACGGCTCTTCAGTGTATATGCAGAGCTATCAACCAGAAAGTTCTAGTTTTTCACGATACCTAAAGTGGTATTGTAATAATAATTAAGTAAGAAAAGATTCGCAAATTTGCATCAGGTTATAAAGACAATATTGAATGCTTTTCTAAAATGTTCAATATTTCTTAATCATATAAAACAAACTGTTAAAATAGAAATGTCAAAATATTTGGGGAAACTGCGGCTAAAAGCAGGAGAATTTATTTAATATTAATTGACGGACACAAAAGAGTATTGTGTCCGTCATTTAATATCCGGAGTTCTCCGGCAAAAAGTCGGAGAATTTTCAAGGTATGCATATTGAAGGCTTTCCGGAAGATTTTTGGAACATAAACTAAGTTAGTTCCTGTTATCGAAACGGGCATTTCCCTCTTTCACAAGCGGTAGTGTCAGTAGACGACAAGAATAATGGCAATAAGAAACAAATTCGAGAAGGTAAAATTATTAGAACAAACTGGAATTTGATACAAGATATCAAATTTTTTATGCATACTGATTTTTAACATAAACTTAAATCAAATATACTAAACCAACAAAGTAGACATAACAGAAGAAAAGTGAGAAAAAACTCCCAAGAGAACTCAATATTCACATATCAAGCCACCTACGTGTGCCTAACAGATACGCCAACTGCTCCGGATGCGCCTAAATAATTTAAAAAACGGTCAATAATTACAAGTTAATTTACAAATATTTGACTAATTTTGCTTACTTTTTAAAATGTTTTGCAAGACGTATCAAGAACAAAGTGGCGAATTAGATAAGCCTTCGAATTATTTAGAAATAGTGGTGGATGAAAAACCAATAAATTGAATTTATTAAACGAAGAATCACAATTAATAAACTACCACTCGAAAATATTTATTCGATGTCCGGAGCAAGTTGGCATCTCTGGCAAAAATGTAAGAAGTGATAGGTACTAAATTTATTTTTATCGTTTGAATTGAAGTGTTTAATCATTTAATTGTAACTACTACCATGGATTACAATGTGAATTGTATATATAAAGAACATATTTTGAAACAATAATTTTAATATTAAAAAGACTTTTAAAATCGGGTGGTGGTGCTCCGCGCCAAATACCGAGATATAAACCATATCCAGCATAGGTCTTTATTTTAGTGGCCTAAGAGCTCTGCATTTACTCTCAATCTGAGCCTAATCAGTCATTACACTCACCGTCAACAGTAAATAGACAAAAACATGTCGGGAAAAGTTGCTAATTTTAATCTCTTTTCAGAAAAATTTTGCTTTTTACAGTTAGCACAGTCTCAAACGTCCGTGGGACCTCACATATAAAGATGCCAACTGGCTCCGCTTTGTAAGAAAAAATATTTTCTAGTGGTAAGTTAATTAAGTTTATAAATTTTCAATTAAAGTAATTTTTCCACCAATACAAATGGAAAATTCAAAGTATCATATCTCAAATTTTCTCGGGTTGACACTTTTAAAGCGTGGGCGTGTTTATCCTTATTCTAAAAGTTGCACCAATTTAATTCGTTACCAATTTATAGAAACCTACGCCGAAAGAGGTGCAGTTGGCTTCACTGTATTTAATACATAGGATCTATTAAATGAAATAGTTACTTAAGTTGTTAAAATGTCAATATTTCAAAGGCTAGGTATTTTACGAGTGGCAGTGGTAAGTGAAAGTTACCTTTTGATTATAAAGATTAAAATTTTTATTTTCCACTGAAAGCCTCCACACAGTTTTTTAAAGGTCGTCTGATCACACCACTATGAAGATAAACCAGTTTACGAAAAAGCCATTTAATTAAAAATCTAGTAAAAATAAGAAAGTGGTAACAAATATATGTCTAAATTTTTTTTTTAAATTTATGATTATTATTGATTTGTCTTATTTACTTAACAACCCTTACAGATTCAATTCTCAAATATATATCATAAATGTCTGTCAATTACTTTTAAAATAACCTGCATCCAGTTCTACAGCCACACATAGTTTAAAACAAGCTGCTTTGTTTTATTTTTTATGATTTTTATTTATTCAAGCAAGGGGCTTGAATCCCCCTCATAGCTGCCACACTGCCTGCTGACCATAAAGAACTCACACAATGCTAAATAATTCACGACGGATGGGATAGGGGGCGCTTCACGACGCAGGTGTCCAGCTAGCATAACTAAAGAAGACTTTTAAAATAAAATTTGGGTTCATGTGCACAACTGCTTCACTTTTCATATAGTCTGCGCAGACTACTTGTAAAATACCGTGTGGAGGCTTCCTGATGTAGGAGGTGATGCCTAGACTGTAAAATTTAAATATTTTATATTATAATAATTAATAACCGCACTATTTTATATATTAGATAATATACGAAAATATTATGCAATGTTATTCTAAACGAATTAAGTTTCACATTAGTTCAAATATCATATTACACAATTATTTGTACGAAGTGGTTGTTTCTTACTGTTACTGATAACTTTAACTTATAAAGAACTTCGTAAAAATTCGTTATAAATATTTATATTATTAATGCGTTCCATTTTTATGTATTTCAAAATTTTTTATCCGCAGGGATGCCAACTGCTCCGCTTTCTGGAATAGTTTTAATAAAGTGGTAGCTAATTATATAGTAAAATTCGTTACATTCGGACAGTTACGCTTTCTTATTAATAGAGTAACCAGTAGATTGATGCTGTAACGTTGCATTTTATATGATACTTATAATTTTTGATATTTAGTGGTGAAAAAATTACTTAAAAGGAAAATTACTAAACTAAAAGAAACTTAAATTTCGCTACCACTAGAAAATACTATTTTTTAAAGAGGAGCAAGTTGGCATCACTGCATCCGTTACACATAAGTATTTAAGATTACAGAAAGCATAACTACTACATTTAATAGTTGTCATTATTTTGTTGGCACCACATCACAGTACAGGTTGAAGATGAGATATTAAGGTTCATTATTCTATCCATGGGTGAAAGCCCTTATATAGCAAGACGGAAAAGATGAAAAACTGGTACGAAAGACATTTTATCACAGCATATTTCCCGAGAAAAATAAAATATCTGTAACTACCAAGATTTCTTTAAGATTTTAACATATATATTAATCTGCTTCTTTTCTGTGATAAAATAGAAATTCTTAAATAGTTTAAAAAAAGAATAAGTAAACTCCGCCCAAAAATTAGCAATTACTGAGATTATTTTACTACCAGCCTTTTCTCTTTTCCCCTGATTCTATCGTAATTTATTTATAGTTGCACTGTGCTTGTAAAACACACACCTAAAAAGTCCCTTTAAAGTAGAAGAATAGATAACATAAATAAGAGTAGAATAGATAACACAAGGATGTATTCTGGTTTATAGCAGGATTCAAACTCTGGATCGTCAGGATGCAGAGCATTTAGTGAATCAGTGAGAATACTCGATCAAAG